AAAAAAAAAAAAAAAAAAAAAGGCATGGTTTGAAGGGGCAGAGGGCTGGGCAGGGTCTTGGCTGTGATTGACAACAGCACACAGCAACACAAACATGGCAGCAAACACAGATTACATCACCTAATTTGGATATTTGCCATTGATTTGATCCAGCCCATTGGGGGACGAATTATCAACATCACCAAGACAGAAAGTGTTTATAAACACTAAGTATGTTTAAAAGTAAAGGGCCACACAGTAGATGAGGCTGTGTATGAATTAAATGCAGGGGGGGTGTAGCCTAGTAAACTAGCCCCACTCACCAGTGGCCAAAATCGTTTTTGCCTGTGAGTGGTCTAGCCTCAATCAATGCCCCAGGCCCTAAAACTGGCGGGCCAATCATAACGCAGAGATGTGTTTATAATTTCTGGATGCAAAGCGGGCGCGGGTTGAGGGCGGGACGACAAAGCTGCATGGCGCTGGAGAAAGCACAACAAGGAAGATGACAACAACTATTGAACAGTTCTCGTTTGACTCAGTGTTGGAATCAGTTTTGGAAGGGTTAGACTTGGGGTTTTGGTTGAAACGTGAACAGGAAGAGGCTCTACGCTCTTTCATTTTTAAGAAGGACGTATTCATCATTTTACTGACAGGCTGTTTGTTTACACTCCCCCACCAGCTTTCTGTCACGCTTACTACGTCACAGTCAGTTGCGCTCATTGGTCAGAGCGTTGGCCAATAGGCACAGACATGGTTTGAAAAACAACGGGTTGTTATCATCAACAATCTTCTGATGTCTCATTCATCGGGGCCAGACTAAATTACACATTTAGTCTCACATTTAGTCTGGTTTATCAGGCTAGGGGGGATCCATTGAATTGCAATCTTTCAAAGGAAAAATAAAAATAATTTTCATCTCCCAGTGGGAGCTTTGCACATGTAACTAATTTTCATTCCAGATTTAACCAAGCAAAACCCTGAGTTTTTAATCTCGAAGTCTGCCTGATTCTAACGATTTCCATGTATTTCTTTATTTCATAGATCCGCCACCAATTCTTTTTCAGGCAGTCTCTCCCAACGGCATCCAGATTGGCGGCTACCCCTGGCACTACATTTACAGCCCACCACAGAAAAAACTCAGAGGGACTCACTACATCCGTTCACTTAAAGACAGCATTTTGGTAAATTCAGACAGTCGGCCAATGATGCTTCATTTAGCACTAATGTTGTTTTGTATAAAATGATCTGCATGGTTAATAATAATTTATATATTCATATCCCNGATCACGCTGGAGTCAGCTCCCTCAGTTGCTGAACCTGCCATAGAGAGCCTTGACCAATATGACGAGGACCCACTCAAGCACAGCCTGCGTGTGTGGAGGGAAATCTTATTAGTTTGAAAAAAATTAACATTAATTACCATTATTTGCTCACATTGTCATTGATTCTTTGTAGCCTTTTTTTGTTCCATTTAGATTGTTAATATTTGTTGTTCAAAATGTTAATGTTTTACCATGATTTTTAAGCTCCTTAGTGGACCACAAGGGGAAAAGAAAAAGTTAAAAAAAAAGTTGAAAAAATATATATATTATGCAAATTAGGCAATGACGTCACTCAGCGACTTCTAGCGACTTACAGCTCAGCCAATACCTACTTTGCTCACAGAGGAGTTGGCAACACTGGCTGTGATCCAAGCCCTATTTGGATTTAATAGAGTAGAAACTACCCTATGGTCAAGTCTAATTTTTTTTTTCTTAAATGGTTACACACTGATATAAAATCTTGTGACTGCAATAATTTTGGCAAATATTGTGAGGGTGTAATCAGTTTTCTGGGTTTGCTGTGTCTCCAGCATCTTATGCTAATCTTTAAGCAATATTTTTGTTTATATATATGTTCCAAAAAGGAAAAACTTAAACTAGTTCTGTTGACTGATTCTTCCACCTAAGGTTGGGATCTCTACAGCTCCTCCATTTTATCTGATAAATCCTCCATTCTGTCACTTTAGGTGGAAAACCATTCCTTGGCACTAATTCCCTATAATATAAATGAAAATGTCCAGCTGAAACATAAAAAAGTATAAAATTTGGATGTAATTGTTGTGTTGGTTGAGCTCCCACATTTATCAGGCGGTTCATATCAGTCATTTGAGCATCTGCCGTTATGACTTCAGGCAACAAATGGAGTCCAGCAGTTGGACTACAGCTCTCTTGAAAATCATCGAATCTTCTTCCATCCGACCAATTCAGGACGAATCATCCGCTTTGGACCAACCAATATAAGGTGAGTGATTCAGTCAAAGGTGTCAATTTCACCAATAATATAAGACAATACTGTTATCATCTTTGCCACTCATACACACCTTTCCTTTCTTTTGAAGTGTGCTGAAAATCATGAGTGAACTGAACAGTCCTCTGCCGTCAGAAATAGTGACGGATTTCTCTCTGACAACACAGCGACGCAACGTAGGTGTGATGTTTAATATTTTTCCTGCATTGGAGATGTGTGTGTACTCAGGGTGTTGAATGTTCCTACAGCCGTCCCCTTGTGTCACCGTCACATCATCGGGCCGAGCAGTAAAGGCGAGGTTTCCTCAGCTGGAGGATGACCCAATGCAGGAGGTATGAACAAACTCTTGCTTACCTTCATCATATATGCATCTATTACTGTTTATCTCCTTATACATATCTGCTGGTTCTTTTTTATGTGTCACGGTTACTTTTTTAAGCAGCTTATTTCTATAAATTTAGTATTTTTAAATAAGACATGCTGAGGTTCTGTAATTTTGTAGAGCTTAGAAGATCATTTTTGATATTTCAGACCTTTCAGTTGCTGGAATACGAGGATGAGCTCGACTTTCTGGCCATAGCAGTAACTAACTGGGAGGATGACGAAACCATAGCTCACATTCAGCTGCATGACAACCAAACAGGGAGTTTACAGAAGAAGATTGATCTGATTGAGCCTTGGGATGAGGTGAGTAACCAAAGGATGCTGGTTCATCTGAGGCTGTTTGTGTTTTTGCTGTTTTATTCCAACCTGCCTATCAGTAGAATCAGGATGATAAAGAAAACATTTGGAAATAATGTATATTTAATGTAAATTCAGATAAATATTTGGGTATTTCTGTGATCATTTTTGGTAGATATAAAAATAATATATAGATATGGTTAATGTTTTTTGTCTTTTGCTTCATATTCATAGATTTATTAAAGATAGAGGGAAATGTTTGAGGTCTTTATTGTACTGTAATTTTGATGATTATGGCTTATACGTAATGAAAACCCAAATTAAGTCTCAAGAAATTCAAATTTGACCCAAAATCAATTTAAATAAAACATTTTTCAGTTATAGATGTTATATTATAGTCATATTATTGCCGACAATCATGTGGAAGACAGCTGACAGATGTCCAGAAGACAGTCATTGAAAGTCTCCACAAGGAGGGAAAGCCACAAAAGGACACTGGTGAAGAAGCTGGTTTTTCAGTGCTGTACCTAACCCCCAATTTACACTGCATCCAGCTCTGATCCACTCAGCTGCAGACTCCTCAGCAAACACACAGCCATTAGAGTGAATGAGAGCTTTAGCACTGCCTCTCACAGTGCAGGCAAATGGACAATTTGCAAAACCTGACCTCAGGGGTAGAGGTTGTGTATGCTTAAACAATGACACATAACTGAACGTTTAGGTGTTTTCCTGCAGAGTGAGACATAATCAGCAGCTGCTTCTGATCACAACTGCACAAAACTGTATCAACCACTGATCTCTATTTATTCACTGGATTGCTGATTGCCCGAAAAAAGTGAAGCCACCGTCTGCCATTCTGGTACACCCCACTCCCACGGGGACACACAGTAAAATGCCTGCATGTGTAGCATTTGGCTGAAAAAACAAGCAGCTTTCTGCCTGTAGGAAAACGTTCAACAGGTAATTTCACAGTCAGTTGATGTACTCCATGAAGATCTTTATATACACCGATGTATACTTTAGTATACTATGTGGCATTATGTAACATTAGTCTGGCTGTCTCAAACTGACTCAAGGATATTGATTGAGTTAGCCATTGACATTGTGTCTAACTTTAGAAAATAGAAAATAGAGTGAATAGAAAGTAATTAACTGTGAAATGTCAATCTAGTAATTCTTTATTAAGTGGATGACACTGTCTTTTTTTGTTGTGTTGCATTTCTCATTTGAAAAATTATGTGCTGCAATATATTGCATGTTATATTGACGGGAAAAAAAAGCAACTGAAACATTTGACTTATATATATATATATATATATATATATATATATATATAACATGCATTATCAGACATGTAAGATGTAATTATTGTAAAGATGTACAAAATCAATTTAGCACTTTTGGCAAATCCGTATTATTGTGCTCCATTAACACATTAATTTTATCGTTATGGATTTTTTATAATATGTTATATTACAGGATTTATGGACTTCATTGACTTCATCATGACTATGCAATGTGATGTGCCTATTTTTAAATTATAAGTTAAAGTAATCTACTTACCGGTATGCTATGAAACAACAAGTGTGTGTCAAACTGATAAATTTATCTTTATTTTAAAAGTCTTAAGTCCACCTGAAAATAAAAACATCATCAGTGTTCGATGCTGTAGCGGGCATATTGATTACATTGTGACCGGTCTAACTAGGGAGTACCAATATGGCGACCGGTAGCTTAACTTCAACCTTGTTCTACCGACGGGCAATCAGCGATCTAGTGAATAAATAGAGATCAGTGGTATCAACGCCATCAAGAGCTGATGTTGTGTACAAAAAACCCACAAAATATATATATGCATTTTCTTAATGCATTTCTATGCGTTAACAATGGACTGAAGCATGCAGAAACCATGTTAAATGGCTATATATATATATATATATATATATATATATATATATATATATATATATATAAATGAATGTTTAATATATATGTGCTAAATGATTTATTTTGTTTTTATTGGTACTTATTGGAAGTAAGGTGGGAAAAAATGAAAATCTGTGCACTGCAAAAAATGTAACTCTAAATAAGTAATTTTTTCTTTAAAAAAGTGCATTTTTTTTCTTGAAACGAGGTTTAATTCGATTGCATTTGCAGTGTGTGAACAAAATGGAGGCATGGTTTGGTCTAAACATTTGTCGGCCTAGTCTGAGTACCAATGTGTTTGGTTTTTATTCTTTGTTTCAGACCTTTCCACATCAGCTGGTGTTTGACAGAGACACAATTATTCACATTGAGCAAAGGTGCTACTACTTCTGCTGCCATGTTTACAAACTAATGACCATCAGCAAATGACTCAAATGACTGAAAGCTGCTAAAAACTAACAGCTTATAATTATTGGGATATATATATTTTTTCAGTTGTAGTATAATAT